GGTAGCTGCTTATGTATTAGCGTTTAAGCAAGTAGCTAATAAGATCTTAGACTATAGAGAATGAGCCCTAATAATAAGGTTCTATAAAGGACTAAAGTTAGACATTAGGTATAAAATAATTAGGATAGAGAAACTAACGACTCTCTCTATAATGATTAAATAAGCTGTCTAGGTTGATGACGAGTTATTCCTCTAGAGGTAGAATAATAAGTTAGGAAGCGGCTTTAGCGCGAATGGCCGAAACTAGAAAAACTATAATAAGGGAGATCCCATGATCCTTAACGCGAATAAGGAAAATAGGGGAAAAAGCTTCTAGAAGGATACATAGAAAGAGAAGTAACGTAAAGAAGGCGCCTACTTTAGCTATAGCTAGAAGGGCTACCTAGCCTAAAACTACCCTAGTAAGAGTTAGGATTAGTCCGTAAAGGGATCTAGGGAATAACCAAAGAAGGTAACTATAGAAGAACCTAAGGAGAAACTAGCTAGTAGTTAAGAATATTAAGTATCGCATTAGGTAGAATACTCTAATGATATATATATGTCACACATAAAGATAAAGAAGGATATAGGATACTAGCCATCTAAAGATAGACTCGCGGCCACCCGTAAATACCTAACTATAGAGGAACTAGAGGATGAGTAAGATGCTTAGCTCCCTAAGTATTATAAAACCGCTATAGAGGACTTAGATAATGAACTAGAAAGTAATTCTAATAAATCTATTAACACTCTATCTTAGTCCACGTTTAGGGAAGATGAAATCTTCTCTTCCTCTCTAGCTAGGAATAAGTTATTATCACTAAATAAGAATGTCTATATAGGAGGAACCGAGTACTTCCAACCAATAGGGCCAGCCTAGGAAGTGGTAAGGCTAAGGATATTTAAAGGCGCCTAAGAAATGATTAAGAACCTAAGGTTCTTTAATAAAGAAGGTCTAGGGCGATGACCCCTAGACCTCCTAGCTCCACCCCGCCCACTATGAGATAGTATGGGTATTATATATTATATTGGAATGTAAGATGTACTTAGCGCCTAAAAGGAAGTATAAGGCCTTTTCTACCTAAGTCTATAACGACCCCTACACGGATATCATCCTATAAGAAGAAGTGCACGGATGGCATCCTAATAGAAAGCATAGAGGTTACCTAATTCTAGTACCTAGACCACTACTCCCACTAGAATGTGTTATAGGGCGCCCCTAGTATAAGTGCCTAGAGAATAGGTACCCAAAGTATGTGGCAAAGAAGGTCCACATAAAGCACTAGCCTAAGGGCAAAGAGGCCCTTTAGGGAATGAAAGGACCCCACTTAATCATCTAGGGGGAATACTAAGGACGACCCATACGCGTAATAATTAATAGCGGAGCTATAAGGAACTTTATATTAAAGAAGTTTATAGAGGATAATAGTCTTCACTACATAAATAAAGAAGATAAGCGAACCCTATATAATATTAAAGGATTACCCTTTAAGGAATAGGTCCATTTCGAGACGAAACCAAGCCCATTCCAATTAGAAGGATTAGTAATCAACAACTTCTCTATGGATCTCATCTAGATGGATGACTACTAAGACGTTATCTTGGGAATGCCATGGTTACGGCAGGTCAAGCCCATTATTAACTAGGAAACCTAATAAGTCTAGTACCCTTACCACCTTATAGTAAGTAAGGAAGAACCACTAGTAAGTAAGATTCCTTCCTAATACTAGAATTATAAGAGTATCTTTAACGAACCAGAAGGATATCTCCCGGAATATGTGGAATGGGATTGTGAAATA